ACAAGGTAAGAACAAAGGAAAGGGTAAGCCAGGTTGGACTGCGAATTCAAGCAAGCTTGATCCTTCTCCTAAGTTTAAGCCTGGTCCTTCTAATGTTGATAAGTGCCATTATTGTAATGGTTCTGGACATTGGAAAAGAAACTGCGAGAAATACTTGGAAGATCTGAAAAAGAAGAAGATTTCTGAAACGTCATCTTCATGTATTTATGTTATAAAAGTAAATGTTACTATTTCTGATTCTATTTCTTTGGTATTTGATACCAGTTGTGGTACTCATATTTGTGGAAATATGCAGGGCCTAAAGAACAATAGAGTCTTGGAGAAAGGACAAGTGGACCTTCGCGTGGAAAATGAAGCAAGAGTTGCTCCATTAGTTGTAGGAATTTTTCATTTGTTTTTGTCTTCTTGCATGGTTTTGGAAACTAAGAATTGCTACTATGTACCTGCTTTAACCAGTATATTATTCAATTATTTGGATTTGAAAGGATTTCATATTTTTGATTAAAAGACAAGTGTTGTTTATTTGATCATTGTGATTTCTTTGATAGTAGAGGTCTATTAAAGAATGGACTTTATATTCTAAGTTAAAGCGTGCATGTTTATAACATTAATACCAAAAGGTTCAAGTCTTATGACTCAAATCAAGTTTTTCTTTAGCATTGTCATTTGGAACACATAAGTGAGAAGCACATCAAAAGCTTCATGGTGATGGAATTTTGAGCTCATTTGATTATGAATCATATGAGAAATGTGAATATTGCTTAGGGCAAAATGACTAAAGCTTCTCTTACTGGACATAGTGAAAGAAATAAAATACTTGTTGAAATTATACATATTGATGTATGTGGACCAATGAGTATAAATGTTAAAGGAAGATATCAGTACTTCATGATTATGTTTATCTAGAAACATAAGTCTGGATCTTTTGAAAAGTTCAAAGATTTTCAGGATAAAGTACAAAATAAACTTGATAAGAAAATTAAAGCTCTTCGATCCAATCGAGTCAAAGCGCTTAATGATCATCTGAGAAATTGTGAAATTGTTTCACAACTTACTCTTTTGGAAACACTGCAGTTGGATGGTGTGTTTTTGAAAGGAGAAAGCAAACTTTATTAGATATCGTTTGGTCAATGATGAGTCATACAGATCTTCCATTATCTTTTTGGGGATACTCACTAGAAACATCCGCGTTTACACTAATTAAGTAGATGTCCATCAAAATCAGTTGAGAAGACACCATATGAGATGTGACTTGGAAATGTTCCAAATTTGTCTTTTCTGATAATTTGGGATTCTGATGTGTGTATCAAACAAACATATGTTTACTGATAAGCTTGGATCCAAAATCTGATGAGTGCTACTTTATTGGTTGTCCCAAAGAAACCAATAGTTCTTTTTTTACTTTTACAATCCCACTGAGAACAAAGTGTTTGTTATTCATAGTGATGATCTCTAGAAGGAGAATTTCTTTCTAAGAAAAACAGTGGGAGTAAAGTAAAGCTCGAAGAAGTTCGAGAAACGTAGAAAGTTATTTTTGGAATAAGAATCTATAGAGATATATTAAATAAGACCATTGGATTATGTCAAGATACTTGTGTAGACTATCCTCGAGTATTTCAGAAATACTAAGGATAAGTTTAATCTATGGAGGAAGTGATGAACTTGTTGAACGGTGTGTTGGAAGAGTTCCAAGCAAGGTACCCTAACAGAGTCTCAACGGATGCAAATGTTGCTGATCCATTGACCAAGCCTCTTCCATAGCCTAAGCATGAGATTCATGTTGTAGTTGTGGTCATTAAGTATATTAAGATGTGATCTTGATTTTAGTGGGAGATTTTACGTTTATGATATGATGTTCATATTGACATACATTTGAATATGTATTCAAACTAATGAAATTGTTTCAGATTTATTTGATTATTGGATAATTAAATAAATGTCCCAAAATAATTTATATTATTCTTATAGGTCATCAAGTGCGTG